CAGAGGCTCCGCCGAACCCCTGAGACCGACTCATCAAACCCCTGGGGTTCGATCGAACCCAGGTTAAGAACCACTGCTCTAACAAGAGAGTGCTACACCTTTCTTTAGAAATCCTCCTTCATGGATAACTGCATTTCAATATACATCCAAGAGTTTTTAACCATTTGACAGTGTTTGTGAAAAATGTACATAATTTATCACTGCTTTGGCTAAATGTTTCATATTAGTGTTGCCTGCAGATACGGAAACCTGATGGTGGGAGCAGGCTACCTGTAGTGGTCAGAAGCTTAGAGTCTATATTCCTGTCTGAGCTCATTTCTGTCTAAAATCTGGTCACATTTATTCATCTTGAACAAATGGGAATTCATTAGAAAATAAAGAATTCAAAAAATTAAAGAGGGAATTGATATACAATATTTGTGACAGAAACTGCAGATAGTCATTTTGAAATGTGCTTTACATTTATTTCAGTTGTTTATTAAGCTGACTCATTAAACCAGAAAGTTTTTATGTACTTTATTTTTATTTGTTTTTAAACATACACATGGATACAATCAGAACATGAGGAGTAGGCCAGGCAGCAGGCAGTCATACTGATGACCATTACAAATTTATAGAAATTTCACTGCATGGAGTTACAAAAAATAAATACAGAGGAAAACTCCCAGATGTCTGTTTGAGTAATGTAGAATCACAGTCATCAACTGTTAGACACTTTTGGTTATAAAATGATCCCATTTTTCCCAAAGTCTCTCTCCTTTCTCTTTCTGTAGACGTATTGTAATACAATAACAATAACACGTATTGTAAAAGTCAACATTTCCATATTGTGGATCAGGTTTATGATATTCACAAGAAGCTTCAGAGTAGGGGGTCCAGGTTGGAACCATTATTTAGTAGCCGTATTGCTTGCAATCAGAAATATCTTCAACATATACTGTATGTGTCCTTATTATTGAGTCTGTCAGGAAGTATTTCAAAGTACATAGCAGGAAATGAAAAGACTAATGTTATACCCAGAATTTCATAGATTACTCGATTAACATCCTTCCAGAAGGTTTTCAACTGTGGACAGTCCCAAAAGATATGAAAGCAGTCTGCAGAGACCACACTGCATTCCCTCCAGCAAGAGAACTGAGAACCACCCAGCTTCGATTTCTGCTTTGGCGTAATAAAAAATCTGATTAGATTATTCCAACAGAAATCGTGCCATGTAAAGAATTTGCGGTGGATAGAATATTCCTCCAAATTCGCAGCCAGACCTCGAGTAAAATTATTGCATTTGCTTTCTTTTCCCATCGTTGTCTGATATAGTCAGTTGCGTTCTTATTCATAGATGCTAAATTTCTATAAAGTTTGCCGATAGTGCCTTTTGTACTTTTACCAGCATATGAATCCATAAATATTTGTACTATTCCTGGCTCTGTATCCAAGTCATAAGTTTTGATTTCTTTCCTGAAGAAACTTCAAACCTGTAAATAACAGTAAAAATCTTCTCTGCCCACGTCATAAGTCCGGCACAAATCCTCAAATTTTACTAACTCCCCATTTTTAATTATATTACAGAATGCAGTGATTCCCTGTTTCGCTCATCTTCTATATTTGTGGTCTATCGATGCTGGAAGGAAACGCGGGTGGTACGCAGGCCAACTCAATACTCAACTTTTTAACTATCTCTGCCCACTTTTTCAAAGAGAAACAAACGCAGAATTTGTAATTGGTATACTTGGGGCAGCCCATCCAGGCATCCCAGAACAGACTGTATAGGGATGTCCAACAAGGAAAGCTCAATGTCCTTCCATTTAGCCTCATAGGCTGGGTTACACCAGCACACCAGAGGTCTAATCTGGGCAGACAAGTAATAATCCACCAGGCAAGGCAGGCAAGGTATACGTCCCCGATCCCCAGGCAGCTGCAGGGCCAAGTATCTTACTCTTGGCCTTTTATTGCTCCATATAAATATGGACCTTGAAAAATGCTTATCCCACTCACTAAATTGTTTTGCTGGAACCTCTGCTGGAAGTGTACAATAGTCTTGGAAGAACATTTATCTTTATTGTTCGGATTCTGCTGCCAAGGTCAAGGGGAAGCAGGCTCCACCTGTCCAGGTCCTCATATATTTTCTTATTTATTCGTTTGTAATTAACCTCATGTAATTGAGACAAATCTTTTGTTAGTATAACACCCAAATATTCTATTTGTAATTGGTGCCAATTAAATTGATAACTATTTATTAACTGTTTTGTCGGAACAAAATGGAAGGTCAAAATTTGGGTTTTTTTGTATGTTGAGTTTATAACTTGAGAGTCTGCCGTTGTTTCCAGAATGTTCATAAGCATTGAAATACCAGATTCAGGGTTTTTAATTACTATTAAAACATCATCCGCATACAAGCATATTTTGTTTTCCACATTCCCTATTGTCACCCCCTCCAACTCAGACTCCTCTCTAACAACCTGAGCCAGTGGTTCGATAAAAAGATTAAAGAGTAGTGGGCTTAAAGGGCAGCCCTGCCTACATCCTCGTTGTAATGTTATCTGATTCGAGAGGCTTCCATTAATTTTAATTCTTGCTTTTGGTGAGGAATGTATAGTTTTTATACATTGAATAAATCTAACACATAACCCAAATCTCTTCATTACTTGGAACAAAAACTCCCACCCTACAGTATCATATGCCTTCTTGACATCTAAGCCGAGAAGGACTGCACTTGATTTTTCTTTAATTATATGTTCAATAACATGAACGGCCCTTCTTATACTATCATGCGTTTGTCTATTACTAATGAAACCTGTCTGGTCCTCATCTATCAGGAAAGGCATGAGGGTACTTAATCTCTTAGCTAATATTGCAGCATATAGTTTGTAGTCTATATTTAATACACTAATTGGTCTATACCCTTTAGGATCCGTTTTGTCCTTCCAAACCTTTGGTATAACCGATATAAACGCCTCTCGTCATGATGACGGAAGAGCGCCCCCTCCCAGGGTCTACTTGAAGGAGGCTTTCAATAGTGGTAGAATAGATTCCTTCATAGTCTTGTACCACTCAGGAGGGAACCCATCACAGCCCTGTGATTTGTTGGTCTTAAGATTCCCTCGGTTAACTTCCTCAGCTGATATTTCTGCCATTAACTTGTCATTTTGGTTTTTTCTTATAGATCAGGGGTGTCCAAAGTCGGTCCTCGAGGGCTGGCATCCTGCATGTTTTAGTTCTCTCCCTGGTTCAGCACACCTGCATCAAATGATGGCTTGTTAGAAGGCCTAAGGAGAACACTGACTTGCTGAAGAGGTTGTTACTACCACTAGGGAGAGAACTAAAATATGCAAGATGCCGGCCCTCGAGGACCGACTTTGGATACCCCTGCTGTAGATGGAAGATCCAAGGAGTTAAGAAATTTTTGAATTGTTTGATTATCCATTTTGTCCGGCTGTGTGTACAGAGCTGCATAATATCCTTCAAATGATCTCTGAATTTCTTCAAGTTTACTAGTTATCTTGTTAGTTTTTGGGTTCCGAACTTTATAGATTGTGTTTTCCACCTGTTGTCTCCTAAGCCTCCACGAAAGCACCTTAGAAGCTTTAGGCCCTGCCTCATAATACCTTTGTCTCATATATTTAAGTTTTTTTTTTTTCCTCATTTAAAATTTTGTGACTCTCCTGCTTAACAGGCCTCATTTGTTCCAGTAAGGAAGGACTTTTGTTAATCGAATGTAGCTGCTCCAATATTTTTTAATTTTCCAGCAAGTCTGTTAGATTTTTCATGCTGATCTTCTTTAAATTAGCACATTTTACAATTATTTTACCCCTGATACATGCTTTAGCCACATCCCACAGAATTGTAGGGCTAACTGTTCCATTGTCATTAAATTCTAAGTAAGTTTTAAGCTCTTCTGCCATTTACGTTTTGAATGCCGTACTATTTAATAAGCTTGTGTTATGCCTCCATAACATGTTTTTAGGGCTTCTAACTAAATTAATTTTCATAGTTAAACAAGAGTGATCGGAGATCTCTTTGTCCTATTATACAATCTTTCACTCTGTGAAGGTCCTTATTGAACATAAAAAAAATTATCAATTCTAGTATATATGTTATGCCTAGTTGAGTAAAAAGTAAATTCATGGTCATATTTATGGAGACATCTCCATAAATATTTATGGTCATGTTTATGGAACATAAACACGACCATTTTTTTCTTTTTTTTTTTTTTTCTTGAAGCAAAAAATTGCTTCAAAAATAGCTATTTTTTTAAAATGGCTTTTCTAAGCGAGTCCTTCCTCGTTCTCTGTTAGTTGTATCCATTTTAGGGTTTAGGAGTAAATTAAAATCACCTGCACATGTGCCACTGGCTTCTGCTGCCACAAGACTAAATACCTCCTTAAAGAAGTCTGTACTACTACCGGGGGGGGGCATAGATATCATAGACATGGATACGTAGACGCCTCATGGAGCGCTGAGTCCTACGTTACGACGACGCCATCTTCTATGTGGCAACAGAGCAATCAGAGCTCCTTAAGTCCTGTGCTGTGT